CCCCAAAACCCCAAAACCCCAAAACCCCAAAACCCCAAAACCCCAATCAAAATAAGAAGTGTTGAAAATAAAATAATTTACTCTTCCTTTACTTCTTCTTGCAGTACACCCGAGTCATTGCCTTCAGAGATTTCTCGTAAAGCTTCGTTGTGAATACTTGCTCTCATGTAATCCCTCCCATTCGGGTTATGCAGGATTTGGCTATTAGCACCTAGAGATAGATTAAGTTAAAATTTTCTACTTCTTCTGTGAGATGGATTCCTCGAAGGATCGTTTGATAAATGAATGCTTGAATCTTGATATTTATGCCTATAAAATTTGTTAGACTGATTTGATCAAAGTACACCATTTCAGCTAAATTTTTACCCAGAGTTAAGACTTTGCTGTTCAGAGTTATCAAAAGTTCGATCTACACCGAAAGTTTGCCATTCTGTGTTGTTCTTATCACGGTATCTTCTCCGTTGGCACATTATGTCTACCTCATTAGTCAAAATTTTACCTGTATTTTTGTCTTTTTCTTCTTCGTCTCTCTTCTTATTGGTCATGCGGTCGTTTATTTCATAGGCATCATTCTCTTCGTCAATAACATTAATAGGGGCAACCTGACTTTTCTTCACTGGGGGAGTGGCATCCATAATCTTATCTAACAGAATCAGATATTTCTTGAAACTAGCAGGGATATTCTTATACTTTTCTTGATTTATCAAATCCATCTATCGATTAGAGGGTCTCCTACCTCAGTATGCACCTTTTCAGGCCGCTTGTCGTTAATCCTATCAGAGACATCTTTCTCATCACTAAAAGTGAATTTTTTAATTTCCTATTTTTCTATTCATTGTCTTTAGAAGTGGAGAAATTGTCAGCGAACTCCTTCCTATCTGAATATCTATCTTATAATTCTTTTTATTAGGTATTGAAATTGGGTGCCAAAGTCTCGTAACTGTCCCGAACTTAGATGCCATATCCTTAACATAAAACTTGCCATCATGGAAGGTGATCCTGGCATGAACTCTTGATACACTAATATCTAGGATACAATAAAAACTTCACTCTTACCAGTGATTCTGACTGAGACTCCTGAAGATCTGCCTACATCAAACTCTAAATTTCCACAATGGTGGTCGGGCACCTCACAGATATGTATAGTTTTGGTAGGAGTGTGGGTGTATGACTCCAGGACCAAATAATGTTGTGTCATTTCGTCCTCATAATTCAGCAGTTTGTATCTCTTCGACTTATGGTAAAACTCATTCTCGTAAATACTCTTGCATAGCTCACATTTGAGATCTTTCCAGTTGAATGATCGAGTATTATGCAGATTCCGAATATTCCTTTTATTCTGGATCCATTCCTTAAGACATTCGAGATGAACTTGTTTGACTGACCCTGTGCACTTACAAGGCGAAATCATAGGGTTATCTTGATCGTCAAATTCTTCATCAAGACAGATCCTGCAGGAATTTTCGTTCCTTTCCTTGCCTGGATAGGAAATAGTGTTCCTTTTCAATTGGATTTGTGTGAAACTTTCTTTCTTTTCCAATATTTCATTCAAGACTTCCTCGTTATAGCTCTCGAACATCAATGAGGAGTCATAGGACTTCCTCAGTTGATGGAGGACTCTTTCGTTCCCCAGAGTCCTAGTCTCTTTTCTAGGAGACTCATCTTTGGAGGACAAAGCAGGATTCATTGTGATATTGTTGTTTGAAATATCCCCATAATCTTGGCCTTCATGGCTTGAATCTTCTCTGGAATCCTCCTGCATAGGCATAATATTTCCCTCTTTTTCGGTTATTTTACTAGCAGATAGCTCCTCTGGCTGCCCAAGATCAATATCGTTGCTAAGGTGACTGCTGATTTTATTTTACATAGAACCTGACTCTACCAAATCTGATGATGTCTCCAGCTCTAAGCTGGTAGCCGTAATCTAGAGGAAGGAAATCGCCTGCACTTACTGGTCACTCTGTCTTTGAATACGTGTCTATTAGGGTTCTTTAATGGGAGCCAGATCTGCTCATTAGGGCTTTCGATCATTTTAGATTCATCAAAATCTTGGCTGTGAAATAGCCAATACTTTCCTTTCTTAAAATAGATACAAGCAAGTGCAAAATCGAGTTCAGGCCTTCACCTGGTGAGATCACTGACCTTGATTTTGAATAAATTATCATATTGCAAAAAGCAATTTGAATTTATTTTACAATTAGAAGGCATATACTCACTCAAATCTTGTATATTATTATCAAAAAGCCCATAATTATTCTGTATGCTGGTCATGGCAGAAATTCTGAGCTCATAGTTAGGTGTATCTCCAAGGTATTCCCCAGTTTTGGCACTACTTCAGCATCATCCCATCTTCCTAAATTTCAATTATATTTTAAACAAAGGGGTTTTGGGGTTTTGGGGTTTTGGGGTTTTGGGGTTTTGGGG